GCAGGATATTCATATCGTGAGCAGGCAGATATCACCTCAATCCTTTCGATTTTTATCCGTGGAGTCAGTATACAGAAGTATACATTAATAATGCAGAGATGCAGAATCAACTGTCAGGGGAGCCTGCGAAGCCATTCGACACCATTTGAGAGTATTTGAAAGGGTCCACCAGTCAATGATCCGACGGCTGCAAGCTTATGTAGAAGCAAGCGGAGGACATTTTGAATATTTGTTATGAGTTGCTGTATTGAGGTTCAACGATGGCCTTTTGGACATATGGACATTTTACCCTGCTTATAAAAAAACTGTAGTTTTTGGCTCTTGTTTTGAAACATGAGAACTCTTATGTAGCGTTGGAATCATATTTTTAAATAAATAATTATATTTAGGGTCTACTTTTGTATCGAGCACTGATTTTTTAAAAATAATAACAGAAGGACTTTGGATTATTTACCAAACGAGTTCTTTCCTATTTTCTATATATTTTACACACACACACACATATATATATATATATATATATATATATATATATATATAAAAATTCTCTCCGCTCTTCGACGCTTTTTCATTTTATGTATGTCCTTTTGGGTAGCAGTGGCACTGTGATAAATTGTCACCTCTTTGTAAGATCTCCATTGCTTCTTCCATTTTCTACACGCTCGAGAGGAAATGGTTCTCAGCTCGACAAAAGCGGTCGATTTTCCTTTAATGCCAAATTATAAATAGGCACAAGTGCATTTGTTAGAAAAGAAATAACATTCATATATATATATATATATATATATATATATATATATATATATATATATATATAATGCTCCCAGTAAGACGTCATTTTTACATGTATTTTTTAAAAGAAAGACCTCGTTGGCCCTTTACCTACTTAACGGATAATACCATTTAGGCTGTTTTTTATTCTACTTTGTCTTTTACCATCTTAAATGTAAAGCAAGAATCAGAAATATACGAAAAATATTCACTCCTTGGTGAAGACGTTCCTTTGAAATGAAGAGAGTTCGATAATGTATACGAGATACATATATGATTTTATCAAAATTTCCTCCAGAAACTATTTCTATTACGTTCTCTCTGTAATATGTCTCATTACCTTTATGTCTACACTCCGGTGAATGACGATAACTGTCATGAAATAAAGGATTATGTATAAGGGTGTTTCATTAAGAGGGATCAAAGTCAGCAGGAAATAAATCAGTGTTATTGGTGAAAATTTATTTTTTTCTTTATTGGATCATGTTATTTAAGACATGGCGATTATGTGGGAAAAATAATATCGCCCAAATATTCACCAAACTTCGGCGGCACACCTCCACCCAATGGTAAAAATCTTTGATGATGTCTCTGCCTAATTGCTCCTCGATCTCAACAATATGCCTTATTATCTTATCCTTCAGCTGTTGAATTGTTCTTGGCTTGTTGGGATATACCTTACTTTTGAGATGACCCCAAAGGAGGAAATCTAAAGGCGTCAAGTCACACTATCATGATGGCCATTTGACTTCGCTGTTTCAACATTTTGAGGAGTTTGGCTTTCTAATTTGTTTATAATTCTCTCAAAAGCAGAGTGAATTGGAAACTAGATTCTTGTATATAAAGTGTGTTTCAATTATGTGCGAAAAATAATATCGCCCAAATATCCACCAAATCTGAATGTAAAAGAAAAAAATATTAGACGCTAAACTAATTCACATTTAAAATCGGTCCAAATTATTGGAACATCCTATATAATGTCACTTGGATCCAACGTAGTCATGTTGAATTCTGTAGTAAGGATATAAGGTTCGCTTTTGTCTAGCTCTGCTAATGATTTTTGGACGAGTTCTATCCATATTCTTGAGAGGTCATCTCCACAAAACACCACTTTTTTTAGATATGGACTTTCTTTAGCTAACTTTTCAGTCGGATTACATTTTCGCTTACCCTGGTGTTGTATTATAATATTAGTTTTAAGAATAGGTACTTCAAAGGTATCATAAAGCATATCCATCGGTGAATTGTACTGCTTTTTTATTTTGTTCATATCGAGGCCTCAGTTGACTTATGTCTTCTATACCTAAATCGCCCGCCTCCGACAATGTACATCCTACCAACAAAGCGTTGAATAATTTTTACTTCCTGGTAATTTTTATTTCCGGCCTTAAAAATTTTACAGAAGATCTTAAATAATCTGGCAGTTTCTAATTGTCGAATTTTCTTTTCATTGCCTGACAGTAATCTGTCGAAAACTAATCTAACTTCCCTAGCAAATATGACCTCTGTAGGTGACATTTTTCGCCTTTGCGTTTGACATCATTCGATATACGCTCAAAAAATCGTGTAGTGTTTTTTCTACAGCTTCCAAGCGTTTAGCTTTTACTAATGCCCTTTTGAAGATATCAACAAGCCGTAAGATTTTGCAGAAATTTTTAAACTCACTAAAAGTAAACTGAGTTCCATTATTGGATACCAAAATGTTAGTTAATCCAAACTTTGTGTAAGAATTTAAGTCTTATCGCAGTAGTAGGCCATATACATTTTAATATATCTGGCCATTTTGTGAAAGTGTCGACCACAATTCAATGTCATGAACAGTTTACTATTTACATTATTCGAACTATTGTCCTCATCTTTCTCACCATATTTAATACAACGTTTCGGTTGTTGTACGCTCCGGCCTTCTTCAGGTGGTTGGAATGTCAAACTGAACCCTTTGTTTCGCTCACTGGGCTAGACTGTTCTCTGTCATCTCCTTCTAATTCCCCTCTCCAGGTTCTCTACTGCTTTAACCTGGGATTGAACTCACACTCTTTGAGTCCTGTCACTGGATCTAACTAACGCCTTTATCTACTGTGCCATGTGTCCTTGAGGCCGAAACGCTGTAATAAATATGGCGACAAACATGAGGACAACAGTCCGAATAATGTAAATAGTGTAAATAATACCTCATCTCAGATATATAGACAGATACTGAAAGGCCGAAATGTTGTAATAAATATGGCGACAAAGATGAGGACAGTTGTCCGAATAATGTAAATAGCGTACATAATACCTCATCTCAGAAATATAGACAGATACTGAAGGGTCGAAACGTTGTAATAAATATGGCGACAAAGATGAGGACAATAGTCCGAATAATGTAAATAGTGTACATAATACCTCATCTCAGAAATATAGCTAAATACCGGATTTTTTTTTTTCAAAATGTCTACTTTCCTGAAAGACATACTCATTTCCTCAGCCAAAATATATGGCCATATTTTTTATAAAATTAAATGAAAACGGTTAAATTCATAACCTTGTATTATTTTAAATATATAATACAGAAATGAAACTAAAAATAACATAAATAATAATGACATTATTAAAAAAAATGCTCACTTTTGTTTATTAGACATTAAATTACATGACTTGGCAGCGTCCATAATTTATTTTGACACTTCAG